ATCCGCGTCGTGCTCCATTCCCGTGGGGTCGGCGGCTTTTGGCAGCACTTCTCATCGGCGTTCAAGTTGTCCGATCCAGCCCGCACGGCCTGACTGAACAGGAGCTCGTGTGATTGGGCTTGGAGCATGCTGTCACGTAGTCGGTGAGATATGCCGCCATGAGGGTCGGTTGGGTTCGGTGGTGGAAAGATAGGTAGTGCTGGCTCTGCGCGTTGCTCTTGAGGGTCTAGGTTTGGTTTGGCTGGTGTCGGTGGCGGGAGTGTAGATGGTTGCTCGTCGTTGGACCTGGTTGAGCGCCCCAGCACGACATCGCTGTCACGAGAGCAAGGCATCGGCCACCCTCCCGTCGGAGGCATGCTCTCGCGACTTCGCACCTGCAAGGGGGAGTCAACCCGCAGCTGCTCGGGGAGAGCAGGTCCGTCCGTCGACGGCCTTGCAGAGTGAGGCGACCCCGCCCTGACACGCCAACGCGGGTAGGTCCTGGTCGGTACGTTATGTTGCTTGGACTCGTCAGAGCAAGGAGTCTGCTCTGCTGCTGTGTACCTAGGCGCTGCCCTCCAAGTAGTACGCGACCTCGGACAGCTGCTGCGCTCTCGACTCGGGCGCTCGCTGGCGGAGTCCAAGTCCTGCTCCTCAGGATGTTCCGCTCCAGGCGGCTGAGTGCTATCTGGCAGTGCTTCGTCCTCGCAGGTGCTGCTGTCCGCAAGCGCCTCGAAGGGGTTATTGATCAGCGGCACTCCAAAGTCTGGTCGCATCTCCACCCTGTGCGCCTGTCTTAGTAATCTTTTGCGCCTCGCCACTCTTCTTTCTCTTGCAACAGCTGTGGCGTCGTTGGGGTGCGGTTCTGCTGCTGTAGGGCTGTAGCTTATGCTGTCAAGGTATGTGTCCTGTATTTGCTCTAGTTGGTAGGCTTGTATGGGTCCATGCTGTATCTGTCGGTTGTAGTCAGTGCCTGGGTGTGTCGTGGTGCCTGCATTTAATTTGGCTGACGCTGGTGGACTAGCCAGCCCTCTAGGGGTCTTTGTGCTTGCCGTGTGGTCTGCTTGCGAACCCAGGTGGCTGGGGTCGAGAGGTTGGCGGGCAAGCCAGGCTCCGTCGTCTGCAAGCGTGGGGTGCTCCTCGAGTACCCGGCGCTGGGAGACCTCCAGATGTGATGGATCTGGTAGTCTCGACCTGCTGCCTGGGTCCTCCTTCGCATGGCTGTGGTGCCTGGGCTGCGACGCCGCATGGGCCGCCGCGGCTCCCGCGAAGTGGGATGTCGAACCAGACATGGCCAAGGGGTGTCGCCTTGGTCCACGCTGTTGGCACTGCGTCGGACTGCTCGAGTAGCTCTCCCACTCTTGTTGCAGTCTCACCCTGTCGCGGTGCTGGTTGCTTGTCTGAACCCCGCTGGCAGTGGGGCTCGCGGCCTGAGGGAGTCGCTCAGGTCCGCGCTTGGAGCGCTCAGACTTGATGTCGCCGTTCTGTGGGTGGTCCCCACCCTTGCCCACAGACGCGGCGTCTAGGGAGCTGATAGTGCGGGTAGATCGTCTGCTACGCCTCTTGAGTCGGGGCTCCCTAGTAGAGCGTTGGTGGTTTGAAGCGGATGCGGCATCCCCCAGGCTCGCATCGGCTTGGTCATAGCTATGTAGTGTGATGGAGGCTAGGTGCGATCGTGTGCGTATGGCCGAAAGCCATGGGTGTGGGTCGTTGGGCGTAGGCTCGTCACCGCACGGGTCTCTGAGTCTGGGCCCGATGTCCCCGATATCTTCTGGTGTAGTTGTCTGGGCGCAGGTCTGGGCCAGTTGCCCCCCAGCCTGCGTACTCCGTATCAGTTTTTTGACAGTCGACCCCCGTCGAGGTCGCTCTCGCCGCTCTCGATGAAGGATGCCACTCTGTCACCTGGGTCCGCGAAGCCATCGTCCGCGTCACAGATCCTGACCTTTTTCGGCTGGCTCCTCGCCCTCCTGGGTTCCCTTGGTTGCTTCAGGTTGCCTCTGCATGGTGGTGCCGAGCTCGTCCTCTCTGGTGTGCCCAAGTGGAAACGCGGTGGTGGCAGTCGTGGCTCGTGTGGCTCGGTGGGCGTGATATCCTCAATCGGCATCCGTGGAGGTGTGCTGGGGCAATCCTCCTCGTCGCGGCTGAGGTCGATGAACAGCGTCGTCATGGGAGTCTTGGCCGTCTGTGAACGCTGTTGTGGGGTTTTGTGTGGCGTGAGAGGCGTGACGGGCGGAAACAGTATGTGTCTTGGCGTGGGCTGTTCCGTCGGGATGGGTGAGTCGGCTGGTATCGTTGGTGAGAGTGAGGCGAGGTCTGTCGGGGCTTCGCCCTCCTTCTCCTTGCTCAGGCCTTGACGGTTCTTCCACTCTTCGTCCAGCAGGTCAGCGTCGTCGGATTCGCCAATTGGGATGCAATCGCTGCTCGCCTGTACCTCGAGCATCCCTGAGTGCGAGGAGGAGCCGACCCTGTTGTACTCCTCAATGTGCTGGCGCTGCTGAGGTGGTGGTGGGGGGAGCGGCCGCTCTTCGGCGGATGTCCTCGGCACAAAGCTTTGGTTCTGGAAGCTGAGGTCGTCGCTCGACGAGGGGGTAGGCTCCTCTGGCGTTGGCATAGACGATGTATGGGACCTCTCTCCAAATCCCACCTCGGCCAGCTCCTCGAGGTACGGCGGCAGTTCTGGATGTGGAAGTTCGTACTGGCTAGGTAGCAGCCGAAGTAAGTCTGCCTCAAGTTGCTCCCTCTGGTACGCGCCCTCCTGGTCCGCCATGCCTTGGTCACGCTCGCTCGTGGCTGTGTCTCCCATGAGGTCCTCCGTCATGTCGATTAGCAGGTCCTCGTCCACTTGTCCTCCTGCTCCCCAAGCCTCCCGTAGTGCAGTCTGGAGTCCAGCCGTTTGCAAATCATGTGCCCGTTGGAGTTCTTGTAATTGCTGCTGCCTCTGCGCTTCGTTCATCTGATGGTTGTGGGCGTAGTGCTGCGCGATGGCCTGCATCTCCTGCTGGCACTGGTGCTGCAGTGTACTGTGGTACTGGTGCGCCGCTTGGTTCTCCATCTCCTGCTGCTGCTGTAATGCATGGAGTTCGCTTGTGGCTGCTGTTTGTCGCTGCAGTGCCACCTCTTCCATCCTTTGGGCTTTGTCCACCTCCTCCTGGTGCTCGCCGACGCGCTCCAGATACCTGTCCTGCTCGTGCTGCATCTCGTATGCCTTCGCCTGGATGGCTGCGTGCTCCAGGTTCAGGACGACCCGCATCGCTTCGCGCTTGTTGGCTTCTTCCTGATGCTCGTGGGCCATCTGCTGATAGTTCACTGCGATCCGCAGCTCCTCCTCCTTATAAGCGCTGTGGCGGGCGCATCTCTCCTGGTACTCCGCCTCCGCCATCTCCTGCATCGCCTTCTCGTTGTGCTCCTGCGCCATCTTGTACCACTGGGCCTCTTGGGTTGCCATCTCTCTCACAACTTGCTCCTCCTGCCTGGCCTTCTGGACCTGCTGCGTGTAGATGGCTGCTCTTCTCTGGTCTTCCATGTGCATCTCCTCGCGCAAGGTCTTCTTTTCCATCTCGATATGCATTTGCAGGTCTGCGAGCATCCCTTTGGCCCTTTCCTCCTGTGTCCTCTGGGTGCCTCTTTGTGCTTCGTATGCTTTTGCTTCTTCCTCCTCTAGCTTGGCGTTGTGGTGCCGCTTGAGAGCGTTGACCTCCCATATGTGCCACTTCTCCTGCTTGGCCAACTGCTCTTCGGTCGTGTGGTACATTTTTTGCGCGATGGTCTGCTCGTAGGCCTTCAGTTCGCTTTTGTGCTTGAACTCTGCTTGTGCAAGTAGGTCGCTTTGCTGCTGTTCTTTTTTTTGCTGCGAGTCAAGCCTCTCGGTCAATCTCCTGATGGCGTCTTTGATCTCGTCTGATGCTGCTGTGACTGGTCGGGGCTGCTGGGCTGGGGCTGGCTGAGCTGTTGCTGGTTGGGCCATGGCCGGAGCCGCTGGAGCTGCCGCAGGGTCGCGCCTTCTCCTCGCGGCTGGGTGTGGCGTGCGTCCTCTGGTGGGATCATGGCTCCCGTCTTCCTCGGATGATTCGTCCTTTGCTCCCGCCGACTTGGCCATTTGATCTCTGGTTTCCCTCATCAGGGTTTTGTAGACCCTGATGGTTCTGGCTGCCGTCGCCTCCTGGTCCAGCATCTTGCTGAGCCGCTTCTCCATCTCTGCATGCTCCTCCTCCAACTTTTCCAGCGTGGCCCTGAGCTGCCTCATGCGTTCTTTGTGGGGCAGGACGAAGGAGATGTTCGTGGCGGTGATCGCCGCTTCCTGCTCGAGGCTGGTTGTGCACAAGCCGGCCAGCCTAGCACCTGCGATGTTCTCGGTGAGACGCCCCAGCCTGTGGCACTTGGTCTTGTACCACACGAACCTCATCTCTTCATCATCTGGAGGTGCGGACCAGCTCTCGTGCTCCATCGCGACGGCGAAGGAGACTGGCGTGATGCTGTCCAGGACTGCCTTCTGCTGGGGGCTGTACTGGTAACTGCCGATGTGGGCTGCGGCAGGCGTGTCGAGCTGGTCCCTTCTTCTGCGCCTGCCGCTTCTCCTTCTGGCTGAGGCGCTCCTCCAGGGCGCTCTGTGCTTCCAGTGCTGGTCGCTGTCGCTTTGCTGCTGGTGCTTGTGGGTCTGTGGCTGCTGCTGCTGCTGCTGGTGGCGCTTGTGGGTCTGTGGCTGCTGCTGCTGCTGCTGACTATGCTGCTGCCACTCCCAGGGCCGCCCACCAATGGCTCCGTAGTCGCCAGTCCAGTCTGCGCTGCGCTGGCGCTGCGCCTGGGCTGTGGACCCTGCTCCTGTCCACCTTTTCCCAGGGCCGCGCCGCGACGCCTCGAGGTGTGTGGTCCCTGCTCCTGACCACCTTTCCCTCGAGGCGTCGCGCTGCTGTTTCCAGTTCTGCTCCATGTCGTGCTGCCGGTGGCGCTGGGGCTGCTGCGCACTGTGGTGCTGCTCCAATCTGCTGGCTGCAGCCGCCAATCTTATCAGCAGCCTGTCTTGTCCTCTCTGGGTCCTGGCGCGGCGGTGCCAGGCTTCTTCTTTGTTCCTGGGCGTGGCGGTCGGGGTGACCGCCGCGGCTGCGGCGCCTCTTTGTCTTCTCTTTGATGGCTCCGCGGCGCGCGAGCCACGACCGACGGGGCGACCGACGACGAACGATGCCGCGACGGTCCCAGCCCCTCCTCGGCCGTATGGCTTGCCCCCCTGCTCTTCCTGTACCCCCTGCGGGCGTGCCACCCCTGCCCTCGGGCATGCCGGCGCCGCTCCTGGCGCCCGGGCCCGCGCTCTGGCGCCTGCACGCCGTCTGGGGCGTGGCCTCCGCGGCCAGCCTGGGCGCGCGCCCCCCGCGCGCCCGCCCGCCGCGGCTGTGCTCGACGCCGTGGGCGTCACCGAGCGCGTTCCGCCACTCGCAAGGTGCCCACTCGCAGAGTGCCCACTCGCAAACGTCCAAACAAACATTTTGTTTGCCTCGGTGTAATGTGTCGAAAATCGCCCGCGGCAGATCCAGGCCATTTGCGAGTAGCTGCTTTGCGAGCAGGGGAACGCGCGGGTGACGACCACTCAAAGGAGGAAAAGGTATTGATACTGTTATCCTGCCCTCGTTTCCCCTTTTGTTGGGCCTCCTGGGAGGCCCTCGTCGCCAGCGCTGGATTCGCCTCGAAATTCTGTTCAGAACGCAGCACCCTGGGAGAGTTCCGGGGAGTAGCGGTATCGGTGCCTTGTGGTTTTCCCGACGACGACGACGACGACAATAATGACGACGACGACGAAATCGACGACGACGAAATCGACGACGAAATCGACGACGACGACAACGAATACAGTGTTTCACAACATCGAGTGGCGACCCCCCCCCGTGGCGCGCGCCGCCAATGGGCGGGGGCGTGGCCGCTGCCCCGGAGGGCGGCGGCGGAGTGGGCGCAGCGGGGCGCCGCTGCCCCAGGGACCAGGGTGGGCACCCACACGGTATCAGGGGCGGCCAGGAGGGGGGTGCTGACGATATCAGGGGGTGGATATCATGGCCTGGGCCACGATATTTCCCCAGATTTCATGGCGCCTCTTCTTATTGCAATACGCCCCCGGCCCCCCCTTGGGCCGCGCACGTGCCGCCGGCCATGATTTGCGCCCCCCCTTTTGGACGCCCCCCTCTTGGCCGCCCCCGACGGTAGGTTCCAGTCGTGTCGACGCGCCGCGACCCCGCCGCGGGCGTTTGGGGTTGAACGCCGCCAGTGGCCCAGAATCGGCCAGTACGGAACGATCGGGCGATCGGAAAGCCGCCGATCGTCCAAGGTTGAAGGATCCACGCGGTGTCAGAGCAACCAGCGCCGGGTCGTCACGTCACGAATCTGCCGTACCGTTCTTTCTGGTTTCTTTTAGTTGGGGTCCGAGTAGATGGGGTCGGGGGATCGCGCCGCATCGCCGGTGCATCGACGATGCGGCTCGATGTGGAGCCCGTATTTCCCTTCGCCAACGTCACCGATCCTCACCACCCACCAAGCCACCCCAACCCAACCCGAAGGCTCAGATTTACCCTCGATTTCCAGTGGGGGGGGGTCAGGAAACCTTGAAAAAACACACGTGGAACCCTTACCCCCCCCCAACCCGAAATTCGGGTCTTCGGGTTGGGTTGGGGTGGTCTGGTAGGTAGTCAGATCCATCGCCGACGTCGCCGATGCATCGCCGATACGTCGGCGATGCATTGGCGATGCGGCGCGATCCTTCGACACTCTCTACTCGGACCCCATGTAGGAGGCCTCTATTCTTCCTGGCGGACCAGCCGCATCGGAAAGCCGGCGATCGTCCAAGGTTGCAGGGTCCACGCAGCGTCAGAGAAGCCAGCGCCTCTCCTCCAGCGTGCTCTCCGGGTGGTCCGGGGTCCAGGCCCTGGGCGTGCGAAGAACGATGCGAGGACAAACACAAATGCGATCAAGGATGCTGCGACCCCTGTTAGTAAAGCGCACGGGACTTGCCCATCTGGTCCGTCCATTGCTTTCCTTCTCCTCGTCCTGCGTCCTCCTCCCTGCTTCCCCGCCTCCCTTCCACCGTCGGTCTCTTGGCCTGACGCTCGCGTCTCCGTCGCTTTTCTTGTCTCGCCGTTCGGGCTGCTTGTTTCTATTCCTCACGTCCTGTGGAGCCAGAACTCTGCCGCGGGATCAGCGGGACACTCGTTCCGCTGCTCAGCAGCAGCAGCCCCCCCCCCTCCGCCCTCGATCTTCCGCCTGCACCTCATTCCACACAGGCCGCGCACAAGGCTGCAGCGACCACGTGCCCCCTCTCCCTCCCCGCCCGCCCCGCTGCGACGGCGGCGGCCCCCTCCACCGACACACCCGAGGCTCCGCTGCGGACGAGGGGGAGGGGAGCGAAGAGGACGGTCCAGGCGGACCCGTCCGCCGGTTGAGCGTTCGCGCGCCTGTCCGCTGCGAAGCCACCGAGCCACGGAGCCTGCGATGCGACGAGGGGCCGGGCTCAATGACAACCTCTGCTGCTTTTCACGGGTCCCGCCATAGAAACGACAACGTCGAGCGCGAGTGTGCACGCACCGCGCGTGACTCCCCGCAGTCGCCCCCCCCCACCCCCCACCCCACGTGCCCCCCCTCCTCCCGCCCCCTACGTACTCATTCCCCTCTCGACCCACCTCGTCCCCTCTCGCCTCCTCGACGTCGTCGTCGTCCTCCTCCTCCTCCTCTCCTCCTCCTCCTCCTCCTCCTCCTCCTCCTTCTCCTCATCGTCCTCCTCCTCGTCGTCGTCCTCCTCCTTCTCCTCCTCCTCCTCCTCCTCCTCCTCCTCTCGCCTCTTGCTCCTCCTCGTCCTCCTCCTCGTCCACCTCCTCCTCCTCCTCCCCGCTTGCAGGCGCGCCCCCTCGCGGCTTTGTGCTGGGGGCCCCCCTGTTGGCAGGAGGCTCGGAGGCGGCCCTGGCAGGGCGCGGCCGCCGCCGCCGCCGTCGCCGTCGTCGTCGTCGTCGACGTCGACGTCGTCGTCGACGTCGCTGTCATCGTCGCCGTCGCCGTCGCCGTCGCCGTCGCCGTTGAGCCGCGCCCGTGAGGCGGGCGGAGTCTCAGGGGGGTCAGCCGCAGCTATGATGCTCAGACAGGGGCAGCGCTAGGGGGGGACAGGGGATAGGCTCGGGGGATGGGGGACGCATCGACCCCCAGGCGCTCATTCGTCGGCGACAGGGGCCCGATGGCCCTTCCCCGCCCAGGAACGTTCGGATTTGCCATCGGGGGCCTACAGTCGAGGCTGATTAGTAGGTCGGCCCTTCCAAATCAATGGTACCCTTGTGTCCTGTGTTTCGCGACCCATGCCGCTACCTTCCTATGGCAATGCTGCCCTCGGAAAGGTCTCGTGTCCTCTCGCGAGTCCTCGCCAATCAGTCCCGACTACCTCGCCGAGCCATCGGCGATGCATCGCCCATGCTAGGTCGATGGTTCCCCCTCTGGGCTGGTCCCCGCCCGATCTCTTTCCCTCGCTCAGGGAGGGGTGGGGTGGGCCTCTTGGAGCATCTCGGGAGCCATCTGGAGGCATCTCGGGCTATCTTGTGTCTTCTTGGAGGTCACCTTGGGCTCTCTGAAGCCCTCTTGGAGCTGTCTCGGGCCGTCTCAGATGCTCTGACCGCTCGCGTGGCGCCTTCTCCAGGTCCAGGGGAGGGGGGTAGGGGGAGGGGTCAAGGCACCCCCTAGACAGCAAGCCGTCTAGCTCACTCCCACCCGCCCTTCCAACACATAAGTACAACCCGAGCTTCAGCATGTTCAGCGGTCGTCTTCGGATGGACAGCTACTGGTAACCAACACCGAGCCCACGTGCGCGACGCTGGGGCGAGGCGCGCCACGCGTGCCAGGCGCGCCACGCACGGCAGGCACCCCTGGGGCCCGAGCGTGCCAGGCACGCCTGGTGCGCCAGATGCGCCACGTGCCTTCGCGTGCACCAGGTGTGCCGCATACTCCAGCCGCGCCATGTGCGCAACGTTCGGGGCACGTGCAGAGTGTGTCAGGTGCGCCTGCGCACGTTACAGCACACATCGGAAAACATGTCTTGTCGAAAACCAACGCCCACTATTGTGTCTGGTGGGCCTGCGCACAGCAGGCAATGCGCCACCACCCCCACCGTCCTTGTCAAAAACCACTAGAAAAGAATCGCGGGGCGGCTGCGCATGATCCAGATTTAGCCGCGAGGTGCATTTTGTGTTGTGCTTTGTCATGGATGGTCGCCATGCGCACAGCAGGCAATCTGCTGGCACCCCCGCCGTCTCTGTCAAAAAAATATAGAGTGCTCGCGGGCCTCACGAATATGACTCCAGAATTTGCCCCAAAGTGTACCTGGTCTTGTTTTTTGACAGGGATGGTGGGGCGTGCCCGCATCGGGTTGGTTGCGCATGCTTCGAATTTGAAGGCAGAGTGCGTTTTGTTTTGTTTTTTGACAGGGATGGTGGGGGTGTGAGCATGCTTGCTGGTTGGCTGCCGGTCGCCTGGGGGAGGTGGTGTATCTCAATAGGGAACAATGATAAACCCTTCCCTGACGGGGAAGGCAGAGGTTGGAAGAGGAGCCTCTCTACACCCTAGGCGATGCTCAAGAAAACTTAAATTCTCGGCGAGAGTCTCGATTATTCTTAATCTTTCAATGTAAATCCTAAGATGTTGATAGAAGTTATGGGTTTTTATTCAAGTTCTGAGACTCTGAGTTTCTTAACCCATGATTTCTTAAGCATTTCGCAGGGTGTAGACCACCTACGCCCAGAGGGCTGGTGACAATTCGTCAGGAACGTGCGGAGTCGCTCCCTTCCCGCCCAGCTGGTCGCCGATCCATCGGCGATGTGCCGCCCGTGCCAGGTCGATGCTTCCCCCCCTGGGCTGGTCTCCCCCCTATCGCAGGCCCTCACTCGGGCAGGGGTGGGGTTGGATCGGGGTCCGCGGGCGGGAGCGGGGGTCCGCCGTTGCGACGGCAGGTTGGGGCGGTTCGGACGGGGCTGGGACGAGGATACATCTGTTCCAGAGCGGTGCGGAACGCTCCCAGAGCGTTCCGGAACGCTCTGAGAAGGCCGCGGCGCCCGAGACATCTTTCAGAGCCGCCGGATCTCAGAGATTCTCGACCTATCCTTACCCAGTTTCATCCTCGTCCTGGCTTCGTCCTCGCGGTGGCGACAGGGAGGGGGTTGGCGGGATGCGGGGGGGTCGAATTTGCGTGTGTGTGTGTGTGTGTGTGTGTGTGTGTGTGTATGTGTGTTCCCCATCCACGTTCTGGTAATTTCTGGCACGGGTAGCTCGACGAGTTATATTTTGCCTAGCTTCCACGCGCGGGTGTGTCCATTCGCAGTTTTCTCGCACGGGTAGCTCGACGAGTTATATATTGCCTATGCGCCGTGTGGGCGCCTGGCTGCCTTGCCCTGTCCTTACGCCGTGCCAGCTCGTACCCAGCAGAAAAAAGACATCCGCTTTCGGCTCTGCATTTTTCGTCGGGGTCGCCATGCACTGTAAGTAAATGCCCTGCGTCCACTTTCGCTGGAAATGGAATGTGTCGCGGGGGTTTTCAGAAGTATGGGCATTCCTCCCCCCTCCCGATGGAACGATGTTGGGGATGGAGGGCGGGATTGCGGCGGGAGGGGGGGAACACAGCAAGGAACGGAATACGGGAGGGCGCGAGCAGATGCGTGTATGCGTGTATGTGTGTGTGTGTGTGTGTGTGTGTGTGTGTTTGTTTGTTTGTGTGTGTGTGCTTGTGTGTGTGTGTGTGTGTGTGTGTGTGTGTGTGGGAGAACGCCGCCTCCCCGCTGCGCTGCCTTGCCCCGCCACTGCCCCGTGAGGGGCCGGCGCCTCTTCCTCCTTTACCGCACGAGCCCGGCCTTCGCCCGACGGGTGCGGCCACCGATCGGCCGCGTGGCTGCGCCGCCCCGCCCGCGGCGCGCACAGTGCGTGTGCTTGTGGGGAGTTCACAGGGCGGCGGTGGAGGGCTCTGAGGGGGGGGCGGGGGGGTCGTCTGGTCAAGGGGATCCGGAGGGTCAGGAGGGCGGACGGCGCAGTAAACCCGCACAGGAAGGACGGGCAGCCTTCCCAAGAGTGCTCTTGCGTCCTTGCCTCCTCGGTCCATCCGTGGCCGCTGTCGTTGGCCGCGCCCCGCTCGCAAAGCCTCGGGGCGGCCTTCCAAGGCACTTGCGCCCTTATCGCACATCCTTATGGTACGGTCCGGCTTTAGTCGGAGGCGACGATGCAGGCGAATAACCCGGGGGAAGCGATTCATTTATCCAGGGGCGCCGATGACCCATGTCTTCGGCGAGGCTCCTGGGCGAATGCGTGTAGTGCCCGCCCGTTGGCAATTTGCCCTTATCGTCGCCGCCGGGGTAGGTAAGAGGGAAGGTGGCAGACGGGGGGAAACAAGGTCGGGGGGAGGTGGTGGTGAGGAAGGGTCGCGGCGACAGGGTTGGAAGAGGGTGGGGAGGACGGGGGGCGGGGATGCGGAGGAGCGAGGGAGGAAACGGAGGGAGGGGGAGGGCCAGGGAGGGATGGGGGGGGGGGAGAAAAGGGGTGGATTGCGGAGCGGTGAAAGGGGAGCCGGAGGAACCTCTTCGGGAAAGTTCTGTCGAACCATCGCGCCCATATCCGCTCCGTGACCCCCAACGGGCCTTCAAGAGGCCGTCAGCAACGCGCTGGGAGGCGCCCGAGACAATCCCAAGAGGCCACGACACATCCCCCCTAGAATCCCACAAAAAATCCCCAAGATGCAACGCAGCGGCCGCGCCACGCTGCAACATCGTAGTGCTGCTACCCAGACGGCTGCAGCACTGCTCTGCCAGACCTGTTGGGAGGGATTGGTATGTCTATCATGTATGCATTTCAATGATTTGCTTGGGGGGGCGTGAGAGAGGGGGTGAGGTCAGTAGCAAGGACGATCGCCAAGGGTGGAGGGCGGCGGGGAGGGGAGTGGGAGGGGTGACGACGGCGGGGTGTGGGAGAGGTTGGGGGGAAAGGGTTGCAGCAATTGTGGAAGACACCGAGGCATGTCAGAAACTCCCCGTCAAAGAGGAGGGTTCGTGACGGTATGCGGTGTGTGCGCGTTGTCGGATGCCCCCTGTCTCTTAAGCATTTAATCGTTGAGGGTGCTGTATGGGGTTCAGGGGTGCAGCGGTATCTCTTGTTGAGGGTCTCCGGAGGAGAGGGACGGACTTGGCCATGGGGTGGGGCAAACCAGGTCTTGAAAGCAGATGGCCAGGAGGGAAGGAGGGAAGAACAGGGGGGAACGGAGGACAGGAGAGGAAACACGAGCACGGAGGGTCGTGAGGGATGGCTGGCAACTGGTTGAGAAATAGGGCTGGCAGGTGTTCTCGAGACGGGCGGGAGAACGGATCCCCATCCTGCTCCCCACCATCACTTTGCATGCCTTACCACGTACATCCCGTGCGTGGCAACGAGGCACCATGTGACGTGACCGCGCTGCTTTCGACCTGTGGTGCGCACAGCCGGACCTCCAGCGTCGTGTTCTTCTGGTGCCCTGGCCGTTTCTGTCCGCTTCTTGAGCTTGCAACTCCAAAGAGCTGCGCCCCCCCACCCACACACGGGGGCCCCAAGCGGCGCTGCGGAGCTCGACGCTTCCTCCTGCCGGGTCGGTCCGATCTCCTCCCCCCCCCGCGTCCCCCGACCTGCCGACCTCCGCGAGGTGCCGCCCCCCCCCCCTCACCCCCGAGGTGGACGCCCTGGAGGCCGCGGAGGCGGCGGCGCTGCGCGTGGAGCTCCTGCAGAAGGCCGCCCCCCGCGCGTCAACAGGTTGTTCAAGCTCACAATGTTATGCGAGTAGCAGCCGCTCTGCGGTTGATCGGGAGTTTGTGTGTGCATATATATATATATACATTTTATTCATATGTTCATATGTACATGTGAATAACATATATAATGTACAAGGACGAGCCTGTCTCTGGAGAGCCTCGAGAACCCACCCACCCAACTCTCAATTCGGACGTGCTGCAACTCAAACTCTCAAACTTCCCTCGATCGAGGGCTTCGCACTGAAGTTACACCTCATCCCGCAAGTCGGGGAACACATCCTCAATCTCGAAAGGGTGGGTCGGGATGGGCCCATGATTGCTATGAGACATGAGATGCTGCATGAGCTGATAAATCAGGCACTATACAGTAATACCCATTCGCGAACTCTCATTCAATCATGATGTGCAAGGACGAGCCTGTCTCTGGAGAGCCTCGAGAACCCACCCACCTAACCCCCAGGCACCGCCCCCGCGGCGCAGGGGAAGGACGGATTGGAAAAGGGGGAGAGGCGGAGACGCAGGCGGAGCCTGTACAAAAGGGACGTGCAACAGGCGAAGCCTGAGAAAGTGAGAAACACACGATGTGATGCAGCATCTATATCTGTGCACCAGAACACGAATTGACCAACGCCATCATGTCACGTTCGATGTCAGTTCGGACGTGCTGCAACTCGATCGAGGGCTTCGCACTGAAGTGACACCTCATCCCGCAAGTCGGGGAACAATTCCTCAATCTCCAAACTTCAATCCGCTCTGAGAACCTGAGCGTGCCAAACTCCGCTTAGCGAACCTTCAAGATAGATGGCTTCGCCCACTCAGAGCCACCACCCGCATGCGTACTTCAACCATTCAAATTGGGCGAACGCACCTCTGCCGACCCGAAACCACCAGGGCGGGCGAGTGGTGGGAAGCTGGAGCCCCTCCTGTGCCTTGAGCGGCGATCTCATGGCCGTCGCGTCCACTGCAGACTCGATAGCATCTCTGACTCGGGCTGTGATGCGCTCGAGCTCTCCACCAGGGTCGGCACCAGTCAGTGACCATAACGGGTTAGCCCATTGCAGCTCAAGACCCAGTCTCGCGAAATGGAAGCGGACGGCCAGGATCTCCTCAGCCATTAGCACAACCTGCCAATCCCAGATGAAGAAGCTCTCAGAGAAATGGAACTGAGCCGAGGTCCTGGCCGCCGACGGCGCTCTGGGAGACACTGCCTGGATCGAGCTCCACAGCTCCACAGCCAGAGCCTCAGGCACCACCAGCAGTCCCCGCTGGAGCTCCTCCCTCTTGCTTGGGCGCGAGCGGGCCCCGATGTCCACGACAACGCGGCCCCCGGTCACGTGGAGCCTGCACCCCAGTAGGTCGATGCCCGACCAAGCCTCGTCGACCAGAGATGCCGAGTTTCTTGCAATAGACAGATCCACTCCACTGACGGCCAACGTAAGGTTTCTGGCCGCCAAGGCCACTGCACCTCCAGCTCCTGCCACATCCTCGACCAAGGCTGCTGCTGCCTCGGCGCTCCTGGACATGTCAGGAAAGACAGCCGACGGTATGGAGACACAGATCACCCCGAGGATGATGGCGGGAAAGAAGCAAGGGCCGAACCAAGGCCGCGGGATCTTACTGCAGTTGGCAGCCATCTTCATGTAACTGACCTTCTGAACTCGCTGCTGCTGCTGAGGTCTCTGCAGCTGGGGCACGAACTGCACCGTCTGAGGCAGGAGGGTGCCTGCCTCGTCTGTAGGCACTGCTGAGAGAGTCGTGGGCGGCGGAGGTACTCCAGGGGACTTGCTCTTGGGCGGCGTGAGCACCATTGAGACTGCCCCTGGCGACGCCGTCCTCGACGTGGCCCTTGAGGCTGGCGCACTCACTGCCATCCAGCTGCCAGGCGTGACAGGCGTCGCTGGCAGCGGCGGCACCGTCCCCATCTCCTCCGATGGGCCCTTGACCCACTGCCCATTGACTCTGATCATGCCCTTCGGCGCCATGTCCGTGAAGACCAGGCGCTCCCCAAACGTGTGCTGGGAAGTACTGGCTCCCACCCCTCTTGAGCCAGTGCAGCTGTTGCGCGAAACCTTTCGTGTTGAGCTGAGTGAGGATGTGACTCGCACATATGATGTCTAGGTATATTCTCAGACTGGAATCCGAAATCCACCTTCCTCGCTCACGTACTCCCTCAAAGGAGAGGCCCTCCGTCCGAGAGTCGCTGGCCCAACCTGCACGAGGGCTGTGAGGGCCCCACCCCATGGAGAGACCCAGGGAGCCCTCGACGTCCTTCAGGAGCCTGCGGTACTGGGCCAAGCTGTAGGGAAAGAGCGGACTGCATGCCGGGGTGGCCCCCGTGATGTCCTCTAGCATCTCCATGATGTCCTGGTCCTTCTGGAAGATACGGGCCACCTGAGGCATCCTGAGCTTGGTACCTGTTCTCGGAGGCAGAGCGATGGATACCGAAGCCGAGCCCATGTCTTCTCCTAGATATTCAGGTAGTATGCCCAAGAGCTCCGAGGGCCGAAGGCCCGTGTGACACTGCACGATGAGGGCAAGACCCATCCGAGGATGACCTCTGGAGCCCAGGTGGACCCCCAGAAGCTTGCCAGGCAACTTTCCCAGAGGTACAGTAAGTTTCCTGTCGGGCGTTTCTCTCCCATCCTGCAATCACAGCTTTGCTCCACAACAACTTGCCCCTCATTCGAGGGAAGAAAAACTCAACTGACGCAACAACATTGACGAACTTTGCTGGCGTGAGGTGTTCGATCTGATCATTTTTGAACTCAACTAAGAGATCGTCCCACTGGTCTGCACCGCTGGGGTGCAAATTGCGCTGGAGCGCCCAGGCTGAATGCTGCAGCCCAGCACTCCGATCAACTTCGAGAGTCTTCTCAGTCACTCTGGCAGCCTGATCGGGGTCGAGCCGACGCGGCCCTGCCCGACCCGAGCTGCCTTCTCCTGGACAACGCATCTGCTGTCTGATGTGCGGTGCCCACCCAGGGTAAGTAAGTATAGCTTGATGCCCGTCGCCACTGAACGTGCACCCACCTTGCGCAGCAGGTAGTTCAAATGCGGGGCCGAAGATCGCCCCTTCGCCGCTGCTGCTGCCAAAGGCTCGTTATCTTCCATGTTGCATATAGCGTGGTCGTGGGGTCTCGCAAGGCACGGGAGGCCCTGGCACAACTTCACCACGGCTCGGCCTTCACCCAGGATAATATGATCTGGTTGTCGCCACCTCCCCGCGCACAGGTCACTCCACATGTCCTGAGGGATCTGCAGCAGCTCACACGGGATGCGAGAAACTGGAATGCGTCCCCTCAACTCCTTGTCCGCGCGGTCGAGGTGGCCCACCGTGCCGTCGAGTCTCGAGACTGTGTGCCCATGCTTGGTACCTGCACCGATCACCCTCTTCGCCTCGTGCTCCGAGATGGCCGTGCCCATGATGCCGAAGCCCCCGTGATCCACCTTGTTGGCGCCCTCCGGGTCGGACGCGAAGAGGACGGGGGCGGCAGGGAGGTCCAGCACGCAGGTCATCATCGGGATCAGGTCACGCATGATCCGCACCTCTCGTCGCGCCGACGCCCACCAACGGACGACTCGACCTTGCTTCTTCTCCATCAGGTCGAACACCGCGGCGGGCGCCGACATGAGCTCACAGCGGAGCAGAGCACCCCACAGCCACACGCCCACGAGGGCCCGCAGGAGCTCCACATCCACCCAAGGCGTCTCGAGGATCCACGTGAGCGCCGCCTCCAGGTAGCTGGCCTTGGCACTGGCCAGCCTCAGGCGGGGCGGGGAGTTCTGCAACTCGTACCCCACGATCTCCGAGCCCTCCGTGATTACCTCCAGCTCGGTCACCACGAAACCTACCTCCTCCCAGGCGTCGGCTATCTTCTCCATCATCTTCTCAGCTTCGTCTCTAGCCGAGCTTCCGCGGGGGCAGGCCGTGGATCGTCCACGTGAACGTAGACAGCCTGAAACCCAGGGCGCAGCCTGACGCTGCCACCCTGGCGGTGGAGCTCATTCAGCACGTAGAGGCCCTCCGTGTCCTTCTCGTACGTCCACTTCGAGTGTCGGGGCTTCTCCCGTCCTGTCCTGAGCCAACCTCCCGGCCCGCGTCCAGTGTTGAGCATCCTTATCGCCGTCCGCACGACGCACAGGGCGATCATGCGGCAAAGACCAGGAGGGTACGCCTGCAGACGCCGAGAACGGAAGATGCCCTCGGTGTTCTTCCCATACGCCCTCTCGTGGACGTGCATGACGTCGCAGCGCAGAGCCTGATCCTCGATTCCGTCCAGAGTTGAAGCCAACGTCGTCGGCTTCTGGGACGGTCCTCCGTACATGCACTGGTCGATGTTGGTCACCTCCACGCCGTGCCTCTCCAGCATACCCTTGACCGCGTCCAGGTCCCAGATGCTGGGGAAGGGCTTCTCTTGAGGGTCCCTGGGGTGCTCTATGAGGTATGCGCCCCCATACTGTTCGACTGTATCACACAACCCCAAGACATTGAAAAACAATACGTCGGCTTCTGTCACTTGTGCCCTCTCTGGCTCCGTCAGGTCCGATCTTCCCAAGGGCTGGTCTCGAAATCTCAGCGGCCTTGGGCCGCCAGACCGAAAACGAGCACGACTCCACGTTGCACACGGAGGCGCTCCCAAGAGGATATCAATCATACTTTCTTCCACCATTTCAAGCAGCATAGTAACTAGAGAGGGATCCGATAAATCCCAGCGGTAGTCGAAAGCCAAATCCACTCCAAAATAGAACAAAGGAACTCCATACTCGTCAGCCAACTCCTCCACATAACGTTGTACGTCTAACCTCCGCCGACCTCCTGCGAACGCATGCAGTACCACCACGACTTGGTCCTTGTGCCGCTTAAGGAAGCGGGCCTTCTCGCGAACCTGCTCCGGTGAAAGTCCTGCTTCCTGCCGTTGTATGCCACGCTGCCTCTCCTTCTCTTTGACCCACTCAACGTCCTCGATCACGGGTTCGTC